CCCTGCTCCTTGGGCGACGCGGGTCGCTTTCATCTCCGAGACGTTAAACCGGAGAAAATTACATGTGTATTTGATGATGACATAGCAACGCAAAATAAGCTGGAAAACCTGGGCACGTGTTCATTTAAGAAATAAATGTTCATCTTGGAGAAGTCAGAAAACAATACTTCAAAGGACACAAACTTCAAAGCGCTCTGGAAGTTCAAAGCACTGCACCAACGTTAATAAACACTTAGGACGTGTCTGTGAGCTAGAGAAATTTTTCCTTTTTTAATGCTTGTGTAAACAGGGCACAGAGATTAAGTGAATTGCCCAGGGACAGGAGTTAGTAGCAAACCTGAGACTGCACGTGAGAAGTAACTGGCTCGAGCCTCCTTTCTCAGAGCAGCCCCAGCTGGGTTAGAACCGCGAGCAGACGCTCCCTGCACAGTTACTCGGCGGAGGCCAGACCAGAGGTGGTTCCTGACACCAGCATCACCTGCCCTTTTCAAGGCCTGCTCTAAACTCTGGCATGCTGTTTTCAGCCGATATCCTGCCAGCACAGCCAGTGCCGCATCTGCACAGGTCTGTCTGAACTAAGCTAATCTTACACACACACTGACTCATCCGTGTCTAACACTGGTGTCAGAGCTTCAGCCGTCTCGGTGAAGATTTTCAGGAGTTCTGCGTCATGACAAGCTGCTGGCTGCAGGCTTCTTGACAGCACGCAATTAAAATACAATCAGCACACCGACAGCGTGAAGTTTCTCTGATGGCACTGCTGAAGCTGAACCTGCACTAGTACCAACCAGAAGTTTTTACTACGTCCTTCTAAAGTAAAGCATAAAATTTCCTCAATCATCTAAGCTGATCTGCTACATATCCATACTGCTGAACACAGAGATCCTTAAGTGAACACAGAGATCCCTAAGTGCTATCTGACAAAGAAGACAGAAGCAAAGCCCACTGATTGCTTTTCAAAATAACCTATTAAGGAACAGTCCTTGGACACGTGGAGCTAAAGAAGCCAGCAGAAATAAAAGTGGCCTGTGGAGTACCTAGGAAGAAAAAAAATAAATCACCTTTTGCCCCTCAGACAACAAATAAATGTAAAAGATAACAAAGAAGGCCAAAGATTTGCCTCTTCCTCTCTCTTAACTTTTTTCTTTTCGTAGATCTTTAGTAATAGTGAATTTTGCCACTCATTTTTAATGAAGAGCTTCCTGGTGATCCCACACGTTTGTGGTCTCATGCACTCTAATTAAGTGAAGAAGAGAAGAGGTGTGGAACCTTAGTATTTTTCACTTCTCTAAAACATTCATATGTTAAATAAATAGAATTAATAAGTTTAAAAGATATAAACAAAAAGCATGCTTCAAATAGCCAATTATGAACCTTTTTTCTTCTCAACTGTTCGGGTTTTTAATCTTTTTGTGAAGTCATTTTTGCAAAGAAGGCTTAATTCTAAAAGTAGTTAAAATACTAATTAAAAAATAAATGTTTTTGAAACATTATTTCTAAAAATGAATCCATATAACAACTTCCAAAGTTTTCTTGTCAAATGTGATTCTTGTTTTAAGACAGATTTTCCTCATAAGTCACATACATATAATGAAGACGTTTTTTTAAAAAATGCATAATTATATTTTGAAGACTGTGATTTGCATCTAAGTATTTTGCTGCATATTATTTTACCAAAATAAAGTCCCACAGGGGCTCTGAAGGAGGTGTTGCCTGCATACGTTGTTCAAATGTTCCTCCTCAAGGCCAGTTAGGAGTACTGCACCCTTTCATTTCTACCGTTTGCTGGTAAAATTTCTGTTTTCAGCACACTAGGAAATTACTGCCATACCAACAGATGCTTACAGAATATTACAATTTCTGTTTGTAAGTTTTTCAGGAGTTCCAAAAATTCTTGTGCTGTCTATATTCGCAATATTGCTCAGCACTTACATAACATTTGCCACTGCCAGAACTCCAAACTTTCCTGTGCAGATAATCGAGTATTGCTATCTGTTTTGCATAGGAACAATAACAATGATGACAGAAAGATCTCATTTCACCAAACTTTAAGCTCTATTAATTTACTCAAGACATGGACCGATCTTCAGCACTTTTTTAAGTCAAACCTGAAGACTAAATAATTTGCAGATCACAGACTGAGTCATTAGCAGATTTGGGAACACAATTCAGACCTCCTGACTCCTTCCAATAAACCAGAGCTTTCACGTCACACACTAATAATAATTAACT